CCCAGCTCAGCCCCATGGCCAGGCTCCTGAGAGGTCTCCCGGGTGCTGACCCAGCTGCCCTGTGCTCAGTGACCCTGGGACAGATGGCCATGATCACCTGTCCGGGAGACAATATAGAAATCCGATATACAGTGGTACCAGCAGAAGCCAGGTCAGGACCCTGTGCTGGTCATATAGGACAATAGCAAGCTTCCCTCAGGGATACCCAAATGATTCTCCAGCTCCAACCTGGAAGACAGGGCCACCCTATACACCAGTAGGACTAGGGCCAAGGATGAGGCTGACTACTACTGTCAAGTGTAGGACGGTAGTTGTAATGCTCACAGTGACATCGATAGCCGGAGATGTGAGACACAAACCCCTTCCCAACTGTGTCAGCCTCCTTCAGCCTAGGAGGACTGTGGACAAAGCACAGTAGGTCTGGCCCAGGTCCCCGGATCTGAGATTCCCAGATCTCTCCCCCAACCCAGTCCTCCAGGCAGCCTCTGCACCATGTGGATCAGGAGTGCATATGCAGGAGGCAGGATGGGGCTGTCATATTCTCTTGACTGCTGTTTGTGGGGGATGGAATTTCAGGCTGGAAGGCACACAGAGAGACGTCCATGGAGACATGACAAGCTCAAAATGACAAGGGGACATTTCAGCTTTCAGTTGATAGAATCATGCTGTGTCACTCGGTGGACATATTCTCCTCTAGAACTAAGACCTCTTGGCAGCAGAGTGTAAGGTCATGTGACAAGGACTGAACATTTTGCAGTGGGTCACCCGGAATGTCAGCGAGTGGGGACATTCCCAATTCCACCTCTTGATTCCTGGACCCATGAATGCTGGCTATGGGAGAAACAGCATCACACATTGGACACAGACCCAGTGCAAATATCACCTCATGCCAAATCTTGCCCCAGTCCCACAAGGTGTTGCCATGTGACTGGACAGTAAACAAGTCTGCGAGAGGCCAGTAGTCCGTCATTCAAGCCAGCTGTTTCAAATGGTGGGGAACATGGTAGAACCAGTGCGTTCCATGGGCATCGGCACACTGCAGCCCTTTTCTGATGTGAACTGCGAGCCTGGGATGGAAGCCACACTGAATACTAGAACAGTGGGTGAGGCATTCAGTAAGTGCAAGGGTTACGGTTTGGGAAGAAGCACTGCAGACAAAGAAAGCAAGTCCCTATCCAGAGTAAAGGTCTATTCCAAAAAGGACAGAGCTTTCCCTTCCATGATGGATGAGATCTAATGTAATTCATCGGCCACCAGGCTCCTGGCTGATTCCAAAGGGAATGGCCTCACCCTAGGAACTTAGGATTGGTCTCTGCTGTTGGCAGAGTAGATCTGAGAAGCGGCCATAGCCATGTCAGCTATGAGTGGACCTCCCTAGGGATTATCCCATGAATAACCTCCCGCCTGGCAACATGGCCACTTTGTTATGGAGCCCACCAGACAAGTTCAAGTGTGGATGGACAAGAAGGCTGACCACCGTCCCCAGTCATGTCACATCATCCACCTGATTATTAACACCATTCCCCTTTGAGAACTCACTCGTGCGGGCATTTTCATGGAACACAAATAGCTCTGTATTCCTTTGGGGGTGGGTTCCACTCACATATCTCTTCCTCAAACATCTTCCACCACTTTCCTTATTGTGTTTCTTCCAAGTCTCTGACCGTCTAGCCATAACTGAGTCAGAGACCATAGGTTAGAATAAAGCCACTTCTGTCCTTCTCTCCATCCAGGTAAAATAAATCAAGCACTCTGCTCAAAGTCGCCTTATTGAATTCCCACCCACATTATGCAGGAGTGTCCCAGATGAGGGCTGCAAAACTAACACTGTTGACTAGCAGAGTGGGCTGCACATCATACAGGAACCTCTGTAAACCAGCCCTATGGTTTTTGCTCTATATCAGCTGTTCATAGGATTGTTCCTGCTGGGGCATAATTGTGCCAGATAGAGCACAATGCAGTATGGGTTGGGGTCATGGGCATCGGGCCTCTTCCTCATGCAACTCACCTGTGCTTTCAGGATCTGGTGAAGCCCGATCTCGAATTATCTCTTCTGTTTGATGATGGAGAGCTGCTATAAATGCCCAGTGCCATGGCATGGTTGGTCCGATAACACCCAGTTCAGGCAGGCAGCTCAATTACATAGAAACTCAGTGGCTAATAAGGAGCATAGAGTCTCTGGTAAGGTTCAGTAGCAAGCCAAAACATGTGCCAATTGGAGCTTTCTATTTATACAAATGTAAAACAATTGGTAAGCTGCCCATCTATTTCAGTTCTAGGAACAGCATCATTGACTGATACCCATGTCCTCTGTCAAATGAGTCTCATTACTAACTTGGTCCTGCTATTCATAATGGTAACCATACCCACCTTATCATTGGTGATAAAATGGAACTGCGTGTCTCCTAAAAATGCAAAGATCCCCAAAACTACAAAGTTGGCACCCAATTCAGAGTTCAAAAACTCTAGAAAACTTTGCGTATATATCATACATATGTGTGTATATACACACAAATACATCTCCAACATATACAGAGCAGACACATTTAGTACACATGTACACACACTCCCAAATATATTCATATATGTGTATGTGTATAAATATATAATATAAAGGAGTGTGTGGCAGGAATTTGATGTGATGCGAACACACACACACACAGGTGAGCCTCAGAGAAGCCACACTGACTGTCAGCTACAAACGGGCTCCTGCTTCCCACTCACATGGGAAATTCCAGTTCCTGTCTCTCCACCTGAGGTCCCAGGGAGCTGAGACTTCTGTGCTGGGCACGTCACACAGGGCTCCTCTCGTGATTCACCTTTCCTGGAAACATACAGCATGAGGATTCTAACACATCACTCCTGCCACTGAGTTTTTACCTGATGAGAAAATGTCACATTGGAGCTCAATTAGTTTGGAATCACAGACTCTAAGGTCTTCACGGTCCCTGCATCCCACACAAACCAGACTCTTCCCCACAGGGACTGACTCCAAACACACTTCAGTTCTTGTCCCTTCTTCCCATCCTGACAGAAGCCCCACAGTCCCCTTCACAGAGAGGCCATCTCCAACCTCTCCCCACACACTCCCTGCCTGTCATTTTGTCTGATGTCACTTCATTTCTCTGCACGTCAACCAATGCTGCACAGGTTCTTCTAACATTATTTAATTAATTATATTAGTTGTTACCCCAACTGGGCAGGAAGTGTTTAATGCATTGCATGCCCATCTCAATCAGAAGCATGAACATTCAAGCAGCTGTTTTTCCCCAGGCAGAAGTCAGTCTGAAGTCAGTTGGCAGTTCTCCAGGTACTACCAATTCCGTGAGGTCCCAAATCCTCTCACTATCTCTACCATCATCACTACTATGGAGGCTTGGCTTTGCCTTGTTGTTGACAACAGACTTCAGGATGGCTGCCGCAGCTCCAGCCATCACACCCAAGTACAAGAGAAAGAGCACTGCATAAATCTAGTCTGTTTTGTTCATTCACAGACAAAACTCCCCAGAAAGATCCCCAGCTGAATGACATGTCGATGGCCTAGCTCCGGGCCACAGGGTCAATGCTGACCTAGACAGACCTGAGAATAGCAATAGTGTGGCTTCTCAATGATCCTAGAAGACAAGATGCAGGCAGACGGGGTTGGGGACTGTGTGCTGTCTCACCAAAGAAACTGTGTCCCTTATGCTGCTCCGCCCAAGGCAGGAAGCCAAGAAAGACTTGTGTCTTGTTCACACTGATTTCCCAGGATGGAAGCTATGGAAGACCCAGCTTGCTGGGTCTGAACACGTTTTTGTTGGTTGGGTGTTTCCTCCTGGCTCTGTCCTTGGCAGGAGTCATCATCACACTATGTGGTGCCCCAGCAGCCAGAATAAGTGAGAGGCCGGCCCTGAGTCCTGTGTCCCCAGGTACCCAGCCCCAAAACCAAACCCACGACCACCCACCACCCCAGAGACATGAGCCCTGATACCTCAGATGGGCCCTGCCTTCTCTTCACAGGAGCCTCTTCCTATTTTCAGGGATAATCTGACTCCTCCGGCCTGGTCCTGAGGCCGGCAGGGGCCCCTCAGAGAAGAGCAAATCCTCCCCTGGGGCCAGCAGTGCAGGGTCAGGGGCAATCAGGATGTGAGCAGTGGTTCTGAATCTCCACCTGGACAGAGGATTTCCCTGCGCCTCCAGCCGCCAGTGTGCAGCGGCCCCTGGGGGGCAGCAGAGATCACCTGGCAAAGCCTCAGGGGTTCTAACAGGGAAGGCTGGGTACCAGGACCTGAGACCAGAAGCTGAAGGTCTAGGTTTTCTACACTATCACCTTTGCTCTCATGTAAAATTCTGACTCGGGGTCTCTTCTCTCTCTCCTGTGCAATTTGTCTCTGTCTCTAGCACAGGTCCAGAGCTTCATGACGCTCCACGCCACCCCATTCCTGCTACACTCAGTCACTGTCGAGCCTTGTTCAAGCACTGGGTCTGGCCCTGGCATGCAATGCACCCTGGGGATACTGAGGCACAGCATCCACGAACTGTCCATGGAGATCTCCCTCGGCTCCAGAATCCTACAGCACCTCAATGGCTCCCTAAAACTGCATGTGCACCTGGCAAGGGAGGAATTTTGTTCATGTTCTGATGTTCAGCAACATAGACCAAGGGTAGGACACACACTGACCTATGATCCTCTCGTACCTAGAGAGTAAACATTCTCTGATGGGTTCAGAAAATGCAGACAGACTCCACCTCACAGCTCAGGAGCCAGGTCAGGACAGGGAGAGGGATAGTTTGGACCCCAGACTATGGGAACACAGGGTGAATGAGAATTACCTGGGCGGGAGGATGGGTTTGCAGGGCTGCCCCTCCCATCTCTAAGTGCCTTGGAGCTGAGCCCATTTCTAAACCACAAGGGTCCACAGCAGCTGCCCTGAAATCTGGCTGCTTTGCATAACCAGCAGTGTCTCCAGCAAGGGGATAAGAGAGGCCTGGGAGGAAATCTGCCCAGCTTTGAGCCTCAGGGAGCAAAATCGAGGCACCTGCACCATGGCCTGGACCCCTCTCCTCCTCGCATTCCTGGCTCACTGCACAGGTGCTGAGCCCAGGCTCACACCCACCCCAGCCCTGGGTTCTGGGACAACCCTGCCCTGACTCTGAGCTCAAGAGTGGACTCTAGGGGGTGCGGGGGGTGGAGGATGCTCAAGACCCTGCTGTGGGATGAGGGGCTGGGGAGGTGATATCCCCCCACCTAGCTCACCGGCTCTGTGTGATCCTTGAAGGGCTGTGCCTGCCCAGAAGGGGGGGGGGATGTTTCTCATTTGTTCAAAGGCTCCATCCACCAGGCAGTCCCAGGGGGCCCAGGAACAAAGATGACAGCAGGGTGGAATCAGGCCTAGAGAACCACTGGAACTTAAGCCAGGGGTGGGAGTGTCCAGGGGAGGACACCCCGGCTGGAAGCCGACCTCTCATCTTCTCTCTTGCAGGCTCCATGGCCTCCTATGTGCTGACTCAGCCCCGCTTGATGTCGGTGAACCTGGGACAGACGGCCAGGATCACGTGTGGGGGAGACAACATTGGAGGTAACTATGCTTCCTGGTACCAACAGAAGCCAGGCCAGGCCCCCGTGATGATTATCTATGAGGATAGCAAGCGGCCCTCAGGGATCCCTGACCGATTCTCAGGCACCAACTCGGGGAACACGGCCACCCTGACCATCAGCGGGGCCCGGGCCGAGGACGAGGCTGACTATTACTGTCTGTCATCAGCAAGCAGTGCTAATGCTCACAGTGACACAGGCAGATGGGGAAGTGAGACACAAATCCCTTCCCCGTGTGTGTCGCACTCTCCTCCAGCCCCAGGAGGCCTGTGCACAGAGCATGAGCAGCTCTGACCCTGGTCCCCTCATCTGACATCCCCAGGCCTTCCTCTGCACCCAGCCCTCCAGGCAGCTCTGCACAGGGAGGGTCGGGAGAGCATTTACAGCTGACCACACCAGCCTGCCCTGGTTCTCTGGCCTCGGGTGTGAACTGGGGACAGACGGCCTGGGTAGAAAAAAGACACAAGGAGACTTTTGTCCACTGGTCAATGTCTCATCATTTCCATGTGGAGGTCATGGGCTAATGTTCTCCCAACTGACCAGGATTAGAGCCCAAATCGTCCCAGCTCAGCTGAGCTCCTGAAGCCCTGGGGACATGAGAGGAGCCTCCTCTACCAGAGTGGAACAGGCGGGTACAGTAGACACTGAGGGGTCACCCACATCCCCTCTTCTGGGCTCACACACCCACCCACTGCTGCCCGGAGCCCCTGACAGCTCACACGGGTGCTCCTCGCTGGAAAGCGCTGTTGCTTCAGCAATCTGCCTCCCCAGCTTTCTGTCCCTTCTCAGAGAGGTTCAGGAGAATGATCTCCCGAGGCCTAGATCCCAGGGCCCTGCCTCAGGTTCCGATGTCCTGAAAGGTCCCAGCTGTAGAGGGGAGGCCTGCAGGAAGGAGGCCCCAACTGATGGCTCACTCTCTGTGGGTCGCTCTCTTTCTGCCCAGCCTGATATCCTTTCTCCTTCCAGGTTTTTACACATGCACTTCTTTGTCTCAGCATCTGCTTCCAGGAACCCATCTGGGATGGCCAGCATTCTGGAGACGGTCCCCAGGGAACAAAGGGGGCCACTATATATAGTCACAAAGCTGGGGTCTCTCCCCCACACCCTCAAGGTGCATATCCAATCGCCAGACAGATGAGATCCTTTCTTCTATTTGTATACGAGGAGAAAATATCCAGACACACTAGGTGCTCTGGGTTCTGACAGACTGTTGGAGAGTCACGTCCATCCTGATGGCGAATGAGGGACATTGGGACAGTTGCCCCCTCCTACAGAGTGGCCAGAAGATACTCAACCACGGGCGTGAGACACACAAGGAAGGGGTGCTGCCTTACTCCCATCCCCCACATCTTGCACAAGAATCCTTCCTTACACCCACCCTGCCCGGAAATAGGGACAGAAAACAGTTTGATGAAACGCAGTCCAGGCTGTCAATGCTGACACGTATGGATCCGCCAGAGTCCCACGTTGCCCACATGAAATCCATTAGACCCACGCAAACCACAGTCTGCAAAGAAAGGGAATAGCGGTAACCTTGCTTCCACTTGATAATATGCAACTATCCCACGACTAGGGATATTTATTTTTGTCCCACATGATTTGCTATCCTAAAGGTCAATATCGAGATAGACAGTTTCGTACCATTAACGCGCCTGCTGTTAGATGATAATGGGATGACAGAGGTGGAGAAAACAGAAGCATATGATTGCTATGTATCCAAACACATTCCTACAACATAAGGAGAAACGTGTGACTTCTAGCATGTTCATTTCTGCCACTACCCTGTGCTCAGAAGGGGCATCTGTAACTACTCTCTTCATCACCCACCGCTTGATCCCCTCTCTTCAGAAAATACCTGTGCTAGTCCTCATCCCAGCCAGTTGGCAGGATAAACCCTCCTTCTGGAAGGCTGGTCCATCAGACCTGCTGCATGGAGTCGTGGCACATTCCTGACTGTAATCACAAATCCAGGCAGTACTAGGGGATCTCCTGAATCCATACATACCCCTGCTTGCCCCACTTGTGTAATAGACACCCAGCTCCCCCGTGACAGTCACCATGAGTCACCCCAGCCAGTGCCCTCACTTTTCCTCATGATTCACTCCCAGGACGAGCCAAACGGAGACAAGGCTCAGTCTCTGCCACCAGAGCAGGGCAGTCAATATTCCCCGGGGGATCACCATCCACAGCACACTCTCCATGTGGCCAGTGACAGAGTCCATTCTGAGACAATTTTTCAGATCATACAGGGTCTCGAATCTGACTCAAGCTCCCTTGAGCAGAGCAGGCCAGTTAAGCCCCATGTCCCAGGTGGCGGGGCAGGACCGAGGGAGATAAGCAGAGGAAGCGAGATTTGCCACGGTGCCTGGACCCCCACCCTGTGAAGCTCAGTGAGCACAGGGTCCCGGCGTGGGGGGGAAGGGGACGCAGCTGCAGGTGCAGCCGGACTGGGTGGGGCCCAGGCGTCTGCAGGTGGGACAGCTCCCAGTTCAGCCTGTGGCGCTGGTTCTCCGAGGACCGCACTCTGAGTGGCTTCACCCCTGCTCTCCTGCTGCTCCCAGCTCAGGTGAGACGCCCACAGGGAGGCACACAGTGAGGCCCAGGTGCTCTGTTCTCCCTCCCAGTCCGGGGCCATGGGGTCAGGGCCCTGCCCTCACTGTGTCCACATTGCCCCCTCCCCTCACAGGGCTGTGACCGTCACTTCTGACTCAGCCTGTCTTCCTCCAGGACCCTTTTCTCTCCTCTCTCCCAGGCTCCGTGCCTCCCCTGCCCTGAGCCTGACTCCTTCCATGTCCTGGCCCTGATCAGGCCCAGGATCCCCTGCCCTGGGGATGAGCTCAGGAGGGAACATGTCTCTAGGTCCCAGCAGAAGGCACGCCAGGTCCCCGAGCTGGTTATATATACAGATGTGAGGGACCATCCAGGGCTGATTCTGAGGATGGAACTTAGGTAAATGGATCCCTGAGCGTGACCAGGATTGAAGCCAGGACGAGGCTGACCAGTGCTGAGCCACCTAATGTGGCATTGGGAGTGCCCGGAGGTGGTCCAGGTGACACAGAAGGATGGGGGCTGGGACACAAACTATCCTCGGTGGTCTGGCTCTCACTCTCAACTGCCCTCTGAGCAGCTGCTACTCGGGCTTTAGGATCAGGTGTCTCCCTGGTCCTGGCCTGGCCCCTGAACTAGGGAGACTCTAGCAGGTTCTCTGGCCTCCACTCTGTGTGTACCCTACTGAACAATGGCAGAGTGGGGTCTCTTCTGACTATGAGGACTCTAGTCAAGTTTTACAGAACATAGTACAGATTTAGGATGTCATTGGACATCACGTGGGCCCCAGAGGTAATCACGTGCCACTCGGGAGGGGAGTCAGCTGCCTCAGACAGCACAGTTCTGCGGGAATTCCTCTTCTCCTTGGGTACAGGCAGCCTAGATGGGCCCCAGGGCCTGTGCCTCGTCTGGTTTCCTGGATTAGGTGTCCCCACATCCTGAAGGGCTGCCTGAGGCTTCCTGAAGAAGGGACCAGGCCCCTGCTGCCCCAGGCCCTGCCCTCCTGAGGGTTTTATAGGTTTTTCATTCTGTTGTCATGCCAAGGACGGGACCACAGTGCCTGTGGGGCCACAGAGGAGACCTGAAGTAGGGGGAGGACGGTAATGAGGTCACAAGACCACCTCACCCTTAATCAGGTGTTCTCTGCATGTCTCAGTCGGACCACCTCAGCCCCACGGCCAGGATTCGGGGAGGTCCTGAGTCAGGCCAGGACAGCCCCCGGGCAGAATGGGTTAGGACAGTGGTTGTGTTCAAACCCCAAGAGTGTGACTGTGATACCAAACTTCGGAAATCAAGGCTCATTTTCTGACCTGAGAGCTGCTTGGAAGAAGCTGGGGGCTCCTCTCTTCCTCCTCAGCCATGTGGTCTGAGCGCACAAGAGGTTTGAATGCATTTGGAGTCTCAGAGTAGAGGAAATTTGCATAAATCTAGCAATCACACACCCAAGGGACTGGAAAGGAATAAGAGAGGCCGGGGTTAGCCTGGCCCAGCTGTGGTTCTCAGAAGACAGAGCGCTGGGCACATCCACCATGGCCTGGACCCCTCTCTCACTCCTCGTCCTCACTCTCTGCACGGGAGCTACCCCGGTCCTGCCCACACACACAGCCCCACAGGACCTGAGCTGAGACTGCCCGAAAGCCTGAGCTCAGGCACAGCACAGCCTGGGATTGGGACCCTGCGATTGAGTCTCTGGACCTCATTGCAACCTCTCCTCTTCTGCCTCTTCACGCTCCGTGGCCTCCAGTGGCCTGACTCAGCCGCCCTGTGTGTCAGTGGCCCTGGGACAGACGGCTACCATCACCTGCACTGGAGAGGACTTGGAAGATATTAATGGACGCTGGTACCAGCAGAAGCCAGGCCAAGCCCCTGTATTGGTCGTTTATGAGGCTAGTGTTTGGTCCTCAGAGATCCCTACACAATTCTCTGGCTCCAAGTCAGGGAACACGGCCACCCTGACCATCAGCGGGGCCCGGGCCGAGGACGAGGCTGACTATTACTGTCAGTCATCAGACAGCAGTGCTGATGCTCACGGTGACACAGGCAGATGGGGAAGTGAGACGCAAACCCCTTCCCCGTCTGTGTCCCACTCTCCTCCAGCCCCAGGAGGCCTCTGCACAGAGCAGGGAGCAGGTCTGGCCCAGGTCCCCAGGTTTGAGATGCCCAGTCTGTCCCCTTCCTCCCAGCCCTCCAGGCAGGCTGCACAGGGTGGATCGGCAGGGAATGTGTAATCAGTCATTAGAACTCCATTTCCTCTGGGACTGTGGGTGGAGGAAGGACTAAACATGTGAGAAGCAGAAATGGAAGACATTTTGTAAAGAACAACTCTTTTAAAACTTCCCAAATCATATGGTATGAAATTTAAAAACACAGGAGACACACTGACAGTAGATATGATGCTGCAAAAGAAGAGATTAGGGACTGTGATGTCACAGCGATGGAAAGTAGTCAAAATGAAACACACAGCGAAATCAATGAATAATCAAATTAATGAAGGCTCAGTGCCTGGAGGACACCTTCATGCCACCCAGACAGTGTGCAAGTAAGTGTAGGGACTGCGGGAGGGAAGGGAAGGGACTGAGGGTAAATTCAAAAATCTGTGAAGAAATAATGTACAAAAAGGAGCAAGATGGCGGAGGAGTAGGAGACCTGGATTTCGTCTCCTCTCAGGAATTCAGCTGGATGAGGATCACACCATTCTGAACACCTACAAACTCAACAGGAGATCGGAGAGAAGAATAGCAACAGCTCTCTGAACAGAAAAGCGACCACTTTCTGGAAGGTAGGACGTGCGGAGAAGTGAATCCCAGGCGATATTCGAAATTCCGGAGGATAGACGGCGGGGGAGGGGCCTCCGTCGGCCGCTTCTGGCAAGTGATAGAGCCACGGAGCATAAACTCGGAACTTTTAGAAGTC